AATGTGCCCATTGAACCCATTTTGAATCAATCCTGAGCCTATGGCATAATTAAGGCATCTTTAGAGCCATGGCTGATCATAAATGATAGCCTTGGAGTCAAAGGTTTAGAGTTACAAAGAGTCTTAGAGGTCATATAGTCCCACCCCTTCATTTTACAGATAAAGAAATTGAGGCTTAGAGAAAGTTAAGTCACCTTTTCAAGGGCACAAAGGAGTATATAAGCTCTGGTTGCATAAAAACTTTATGGTATTCATTGGTGCCAATACCATCACTTTCATGTACCCCATGATTATATATTGGGTTCCTTTAAGATTCTGGTCTTTAAACTTTTTTGTTCACATATCGTAACAAAAGAATTGTTCAAGTAATCTCTCTGTCTCTCTTTTTGTTCCTATCTGTCTCTGTCCCTCTCTCTGTCTCTGTCTCTCTTTCTCTCTCTCTCCCCCTCTCCAACTCTTCCTCTCTCTCTCTCTCCCTCTTCCTATTTCCCTTTCTCTTACTCTCTATTTATTTGTGTTATATATGCATTACTATACTGAGAGGGATGTATATTATAAAACATGTACAAATTGAAATTATGAAAATTATTAGATAAAGAGGAGATAATATTTGATCCTAAATTTAATAGGAGCCACTGGAGTCTGGAAAGGGATGAGGTCAGAACTGTGGAAAAATCACTTGGCAAACAGATGAAGGATGTACTGAAGAGCAGGGAGGTCAGGCATAGTAACTAGTTAGGAGGCTATTGTAATAGTCCAGGTTGAGTTTGTATGATGAGAATCCAAACTAGGATGGTGGCTCTGTGCATGGAGAGAAGGGCATAGATATGGAAGATGTTGTAGAAGCAGAAACCACAAGATTTAACAAGAGATTAGATACCTGGGGTGAAGAAGAATGAGGAGTCATGGATGACACAGGCTTCAAACCTGGGTGACCACAAGTATGGTGATGCCTTTGATGGTAATAAGTAAGTCTGAAAGAAGGGTTAGGATGTGGAAGGGGGGAAGATTCTATAATGAGAGCTTCCGTCTTTCACAACTCATTCATGCCTGTTCATCCTGTGCAACCCACTTTGTCCCACCCAAAGCCAAAAGTGGGGAGGAGGACTTTTACTTGTTGGTCACTTCTTGGAGTGCAGAGCTCACCCTCTCAGGATTGCCTGCTATAGCCACTAGCAGAGCAGGGTGAAAGTAAGGGGATGAATATAGGAATTCTCCCAGTAGTTGCTATGAGACTGCTCCCCTGAGTGTTTGGGTAGCAAATCATTGTCCTTAGGGCTCAATACCTGACTTAGAGGAGGAGAAGTTGGGTGTTTGTGCAGTGGACGGAAGGGTGGAATGAGGGAGAATTGAGGATTAGGTTTGGGGTGATGGTGTTGGGTCAAGTACAATGATTAGTTATTGCTGGGAAGGTGAGATGAAACTCATCTTCCTGTCCTTTGAGTGGATGATCACACATTTCTTAGGTTCAGGTTACAGTCCCTGCTTTAGGCTGTGCCCTCATTGGAGATCATTGCTGTAACGGAATTATTTACCAGCATTGCATGGAGAAGAGACCTGAGGGGTGGAGATTGTCTCTTTAGGGCAGAGGTTCTTAACCTTTTGGTGCGTGTGTCATTATCCCCTTTGGCAGACTCTTAAAGATTGTGGACCCCTCCTCAGAAATGTAATTTTAAATGCATAAAATACTTACGATTATAAAGAAAAGAAATCATATTGAAATAAAAATGCCATTTTCCCCATTCAAATTCATTGACCTTCTTAAAATCTAGGGGTGGGGATCCTAAATTTAAAAAAAAATCTTCAAGAGTATACTTATGGCATTCCATTTCAGTAACCAACTATAAGAGTCCTCCTACCCAAGAGGAAGGAGTCAGAAAGTACATCTGTTCTGTGGTGGGGGGATGAAGAGCCCCTCCCTGCATCATTCATCCTCCCAGAAGTTTTACACTCATGTTATGCTAGCTCCCAGCACATTAAAGATACTCAGTCAATACTTGTTTGATGGATTATAACATCAAAAGGAAACAAATACATGGTGGTGGAACATAGCACTACAGCCTTGCTCTGACTTCACTAAAGGACCTTAGTCCCCCTTTTCAGCTTTTCTCACAATGTTCTCAAACCACAAAGGTCCTTCCATTTTCATATTGAGATTTTTAAAAAAGCAGCTTGTTAGAATATCTACTGTGGATGCTCTAACTTTTGACAAGTCAGGAGGTAGTTACATTGTCATCAGAACCATTAACAGAAGTTTATCTGTTCCCCTAATGCTGTGTAGAAGATCATATTACACCACAGCAGCTTTTTCTGAACCATATACTATACTGTAGAACACAGTATTGTCTGATTGGAAGGCCTGATTGATTATAGGACTCCCCCCAGCCCCACCAACTGCTTGCCAAGGAACAGATTCAGTGTAAGGACCATTCATCTCAGCATCTGGGGGAGAAATATTGGTAATAACTATTCCACATTGCTCTTTTCAATGACATCCAGCTTTGACCTGAAAGCCAATTCACAGCAGTTAATGGTGTGACATGTTGTGTTTTCAGATACACTGTCACCTCAATACGAATTTCTTAACCCTTCTTCTTACTTCTGTGCCTTGCTATGGACTTAAGAGAAAACTGGTCAGTGGGATCTGAGTGGCTTTTGAAAAATGCTCAAATCCTGAGCCTACTCTTGTCATCTCTCCATCTTCCTAATTATTGAGCATTTAGATCAGGGGTTCTTAAGCTGTGCCCTATGGACCCTCAGTAGATCTATAGATAGATTTTTGGGGGGAATCTATGAACTTGAATAAGAAAAAAATTACATTCTTGTTTTCATTTATTTCTAACTGGTTTAGCATTTCCTTAAATTATTTAAAAATTATGCTGAGGAGAGGTCCCTAGGCTTTACCAGACCACCAAAGGGTCCACAACATGGAGTTAAGAATCCCTCACTTCTGTGTTTACCTCTGTTCATCTGTAATAGACTGTGAATATGCTCTATTTTTCTTTTTAAAAAATTGTCTTTTATCATTGGACTAATGGCCCTAGTTAGAACATCAAATGACATTTACCAAGGAGAGATACATCTGCAAAAATTCTCAAAGCTTGGGAATGAAAGCTCTCTTCTAAAGTGTCTTCATTTTTCAGTGGTATTTTTGTATCTCTTCATGTTTGAGCTCTTTGTAGGCAGCTCAATAGGCAGGACGTAAGCAGCAAGCACCTTAGAAACACTACCAATGCTTCCTTTTTTTCACATCTGTGTACTTTTTGTAATACATATCATAACCTCTATGAAAAGCTCCAATAAGTCCACTGGGAGAAAAATTCTGCCTCATTATCCAGGCCAATAGCTGCTCCAGTTTAACATGTAGGAGTTTCTCTTCTTTAAGTGGTGCTAAAAGCAGTGTGTTTGATGCCATCTTGTCGCCTTGGAGTCCAACCTGAATATGTTTTCTTATGTTTCATCCACTTAGTTATTTGTTTCTGCGCCTTCTGTATCCATTATCAGATTGTAAACTCCTTGAAGTAGCTCATGTTTTTATTTTTTTTTTTCTCTTGAAGGAAATCCCCTGATCACCTATAAGGTCATCATTGTCATCAAGGAATATTTTATTAAGTGCCCTTTTGCTTTACATAAAAAAGCTCACTAAATTCAATGCAGGAAGACTGGATAGGTAGTAAGTTGTGTAGTCATTGAACACTTGATATATACTTGTCAAATAAGGATAATGTGTGAAAAGCAAAATTTTATAAAATAAATATACCTTGGCCTCTGTATTTTCCATGAGACTCTGGAAAGGAGAATGGCCATTTAATTTTTAGTTTGAATAATGTCTGCAAAATTATAGTATACTATACCCAATTAGAGCTTCAGGTTTGGGAAATTCAGCATCTTTCTTGAACAAACACTGTATTTCTAGTCTAGCTGATGAATGTTCTGCTTATCAGCTTTGCTGAGCAGATGTTCTTTGATCCACATTTTGAAGCCCAGAATAACAAGCACTAACCACTGCTGCTGGAATCACAAGGGCCATGGCCCTGGGTCCTTTCCCTGTTCTCTACCCAGGTATGTAGTTTGGGTCTGGCTCAGTTCTGGAAAACCTCAAGCTCTTTGGCTCATTAAAGTACCTACGTTGGCACCTCAGAGACAATTTTACTTATAGGTTGGGCTGTGGCTTAAATATAGGGTTTTCCTATAAAAAGTGTACTTCATGTACAATATACATCTGGTATGGAACAGGTAGTTTATTCCTACGCACAAAAGAAATACTAAATGTAAAAACAAAAACAAAAACAAGAACAAAACAAGCATTAATAGAATGACTTAAAGTGGGATTCAGTAACTTAATTTTTCGCTGTTGTTACCATCTACTGGAAGTCTAATACTTAAACATCATCAGATTAGTAAGCAGTTTATAGGAGTGCTGATTAGGCATTTTTAATTGCACCCTGTCTCTTCACTGTTCAACTCCTTCTACAAGGCATCTGGTAAAATAGTCAAACTTGCACCAGTAATCTTGTCAGTGACTATCCAAGAACCCACTTCTGTCCCAATATTTTCAAGGTAATTTATTATACTGTTATGGAAATGCTTATTTTATTAATTAAAAATTAAATAAATAAAAATTTAAAAACAAAAAAACAAGAAAAAAGCAAAGTTATTTCCAAGCCTGCATCCAGTTCAATATACATACTTATTTATCTATGATTAGGAAAGAATAAACATAAAAGAGACAGCCTGAACCCAGGCTTAAGCTTGCATAGGTAAGACATGTATTTTAAATTTCATGTGCTCACAGCAGGGTTACACTGGATCTTTGGTTTGAGCAAATAATTAAAATGACTGGACAATGGTGAGTTTTACCTTCTCATCATTTATCTTGGATTTTAACTCTTATTAACTATTTTTGCTTTACTGTCAAAAGTTTTTAAAATGTTGGTAAAGAAAATAGAAGGAAAATAAAAGTCAAGTAATTCTACCTTCTTCTCTTGCCTCTTATTTAGGTCCTAAATCCTAGGGATTGAGTCTGCAGTGGCCAAAGGGCAGGACCACACTGGTGATCAGGTAAGGTTTGGAGAAGCAGAAAAACACCAGGTGTTAGGTATAGGGATCCAGGTAGAAATGTAAGATCTGAAGCACTAGATCAGTAGTGCAGGTAGCTGAGTAAGTTAAATCTGAACACGGGTGTGATATTAGTGTAAAGGATGACTGAGTTGGGGGCTCTTCATATATTTCCAGCCAATACTGGAAATCAATCAGCTGAAACCTATGGAGCATCTACTAAGTGCAAGGCATTGTGGGAAACCATTGCTTTCAAGAGCAGTATATGCAAACTGTGGTGGGAATGCCTAAATATGAAAGGCACCATATTATACTGAATATAGGCTGCCCTGGAATAAAGATAAAATACTGATCATACTGCTAAGAGAAGGTCTATTTAAAAGGGAGAAAAAAGTATACATTAAAAAAAAGTTATGCAGAATTGCCATATACAAAAACATGGACCTATTTAGAAAAAAGTGCTATTTTTCTAAAAGCAAATAAGTAAAGAGGAAGCATTGTATAAGAGACAGAAGGCTAGAATTGGAATCAGGAAGACCCAGGTTAGAATTATGCCCCAAATATAAGCAGTGTGACTCTGGGCAAGTCACTTAAGCCACAGTTTTCTCATCTGCAAAATGGGGGTAATAATAATCCCTGCCTCAGAAGGCTGTTATGAAGATCAAAGAGATAACATATTTAAAGGGACCTTTGATTTTACTGGTATAGGACACCCTGGGGCAGAGACAGCATGTACTCTGCAACTGATAGTCTTTCTTAGAGAGCTTCACCTACACCACCAAAGGGACAGGTGACTTGTCCAAGGTCACACAGCCAGTGCTTGACAGAGGTAGTTCTTGAATCCAGGTTTTTGTGTCTTCAAAGCTCATTTTCAATTCACTATACCTTGCTGCATCTCTAGGTAAAGGGCTTTGTAAGCCTTAAATTATTATAGTAATGTCAGCTGTTGGTTTATTATTAAAATTATTGTTAATGTGTGTTGTTATCTTACAAAAAAAGCAAAGCATCAAAGGAATCTAAAGAGAATTCAGGGAAGTGGAGAGCTGTGTGGTGGAAAACTGAAATGAGAAGTTGGACTTTTCATGGTTCAGTGGGAGAATGAAGGGAAGAGGGGAAGGAGAAGGGAATAAATATTTGTAAAGTGCTGATTATGTGCTAGACACTGTGTTAAGTGCGATGCAAGTATTATCTCATTTGAGCCTCATAACAGCCTTGGAAGGTAGGTGCTATTATTATCCTCATTTTACAGTTGAAGAAACTGAGGCAAACAGAGGTTAAGTGATTTGCCAGGGTCACACAGCTAGTAAGTGTTTGAGGCTGGATTTGAACTCAGATCTTCTCACTCCAGTCTCAGAGCTCTATCACTGAGCCACTCAGTGAACTCAGTGACATGGATGAGTCACTCTTACTAGACTGATCAACCCACCTCCCTTCTTTCTCTTAAACCATTCCTGGGACAGCTATTCATTTTTTAAAAAAAAACACTATACATTTATTTCTGTGTATATGTTTTTTTGTTTGTTTGTTTTGTCTGTTTTGTCAAGCCTATGATTTGATTGCTGGAATAGCTACTGGAGCTTCCTCAGCCAATATGTATCAGTGTATTCTCTACAATTTATAGTTTTAGAAAGTTGCCTGGGGGCAATGAGAGATTAGGCCATTTAATTCCTGGCTTTGTGAACCACAAGTGTCAGAGGAGGGACTGGAACATAGGCCTTCTTGACTCTGAGGCCAGCTCCCTATGGACTGTGATACCATGCTACCAGTGGGAAAATATACTGGCTCTGCAGTCAGAGAATCTCCATTCAGATTATGTTTCTGATGCTTACTGCTTGTGTAACCTTAGGCAAGTAACTTGACACCTCTGGGCCTCAGTTTCCTATTCTGTAAAATGAAGAGGTTGTATTGGATGGCTTCTGAGTTCTAAATTGTTAATAATGTGCTTCTATGACTTCTTCTTCTTCTCCTTCTCCTTCTCCTTCTTCTCCTTCTCCTTCTCCTTCTCCTTCTCCTTCTTCATCATCATCATCATCATCATCATCATCATCATCTTCTTCTTCTTCTTCTTCTTCTTCTTCTTCTTCTTCTTCTTCCACTCATGCAGTTGATTTTTTCAGCTAAAATATAGCACTTCATATCTATCTGAAATAAAACATCATTACCCTAGATTTAGCTCAGCATTCTAGCCTACTGAGATTTTTTTGGAGGATGCTGACTTTGTTGCCCAACATACTAGCTAGATTTTCCAGCTTTGTGTTAACTGAGAATTTGATGTGTGCCATCATTATTAAACATGTTGAACAGAAAAAAAAAGAGTTGATGTCACAGACTTGTTATCCTCACCTAGGGAAGGGAGAAAGGAGGGAAGAGAGTAGGCATTTATGTACCACCTGTTACATGCCAAGACTGTGCTAAGTGCTCTACAAGTACAATAATAATGATAATTATAACTAGCATTTATACAGCATTCACTATGTGCCAGGCACTGTGCTATGTGCTTTACAATTATTACTTCATTTGATCCTCACTACAGCCCTAGGTGTAGGTACTATTATAATCCCCATTTTACAGTTGAAGTAATTAAAGCAAATCTAGGTTAAGTGACTTACCCAGGGTCACATTGCTAGTAAGTGTGTGAGGCTGGATTTGAACTCAGATCTTCCTGACTCCAGGTCTGTTGCTCTACCTACTGCTCCACCTATCTGCCCTTATGTCTTATTAATTGTTCATTAGAGATCTCTTAGTCTCTGATAGAAATCTTTCTTTCTCCACTAGAAATCTCTCCTCTAAATTGACACTGATCCATTAATTATTATACTTTGGGTCTTGTCATTCAACTAGTTCTGAGTCTTAATTGTACTATAAGCTACCTTACATCTCTTCATCATATTCACAAGGAGAATATTTGACATTTTAGAAAATTCCTTTTCTGAAGTCCAACTGTGCCTGTAGCAGTCTCCTGATTTATAAATCCAATAATTCTGTACTAAAAAGAAATGAGATTAATCTGGTATGAACTGTTCTTGATGACCCTGTGCTGGTTTCTAGCGATTGTTATATCCTTTTTTAAATTCTCCTAAATCCTTCCTTTAATAATATGCTTTAGAATTTTGTAAGGCAATCAAAATTGAGTTTCAAGACCCTCCCCTCTTTCTTTTTCCTTCCCTTCCATTCCCTTCCCTTCTGTTCTGTTCACTTCTCTTCCTTTCCATTCCCTTCCTTCCCTTCTTTCCTTGCTTCTTCTTCTTCTTCCTTCCTTCCTTCCTTCCTTCCTTTCTTCCTTCCTTCCTTCCTTCCTTCCTTCCTTCCTTCCTTCCTTCCTTCCTTCTCCCTTTCTATTTTTTTCTGGAATATATGGACATTTGTTCATCCCTATTCCTGCAGCACCTTTTTTATTCTTTATTATTTTTTTAAGGCCATAAGTAGTCACATTTGTCAGTACCTTCCTTATCTGGGGGTTTAATTCATGTGAGACTGTTGACTCAGATTCTTTGAGGGGTAACTAGATATTATGGAAAAAGCACTGTATTTGGAATTAGGAAACTTGGATTCATATCCTTGCTCTAACACTTAACATGAATGAGTCATTTAACCTCAGTTATACTCTATTTCCCCATCTATAGAATGGAAGTGTAATTCTTGTACATGTACCTCACTGGGTTGTTGGGAGGAAAATTATTTATAAAACTTAAATTTCTACATGGATATGTTCCTATTTTTAACATTCCCTTTCATATGAAGTGGTCACTTCCACCCAGGGTTCTAATCATTTCTACTTTGGCAAACAGTTACCTCTTATAAATCATAATGAGGTCCAGAATAGCAGGTGTTCTTATCTCTTCCTGTACCTTTTGAAGAGTGACTTTATCACTAAAGGATAGGGACAGGGACTGGACTTGTAAAATCATTGGAATAAAGAACTGTCCAGTGAGGAAAGTCCCTCTACCAATGCAGGCCAGTATCTTCTCTGCAATTCATTGTCTTAAAGCATTGGTGTCAAACTCAAACAAAAATGGGGACTACTAATCCATACATGAGGATCTCTGGGGGCAACTTATTGACTTAGAAAACTACATACTAACTTTATTTATGTTTTTATTGCACTTTTACTTATTTTATTAAATACTTTCAAATTACATTTTGATCTGGTTCCCTGGGATCTTGGAAGTGTAGTAGGCTGCATGGACCTTCTGTTTGACACTTTTTTCTTAGAGAGTTGCCTAGAAAAGTAAAAAGTTAAGTAACTTGTCCAACATCACAATCCAGTACATGTCAGTGGTGGGAACTGAATCCATGTCCTGGCTTTGAGGGCATCTCTCTACCGTACTGCTTCTTAAATCAAGTACATAATAGATCCGTAGTTTTGTGTGTCATCTATTATCAATATTATTATTGTTACTATTGTTATTATTATTATACTATGTTACTGGAATGCTTGTTTTATTCCATAAATTAAAAATAAAATAAACAAAAATGAAAATAATTAAAAAAAACTTTTATCATCAGCTTTTCTTTTGGAGTCCAGAAATGTCCAAATAATTGGAGTTTCCCATTATCATCCTCTGTGCCCCATTTGTGATTTATTTCCTAAATTAATTGCCTGTTTCCTTCTTCTAGTCAAGTGGTTGATAGATGTCTTCCATTAAAAAATACATTTGCAACATCTCTCTTAAATGTTTCATTCTCTCCTCTGCTGCTGCCACTACACAGGTTCTGGCCCTTATCACCTTAGGAATGGGTAGCTGCAAATAGCCTTCAATTGGTCTCCCCATCTCCAGGCTCTCCCCACTCCAATCCATCATCAAAGTGATTTTCCTAAAATCCAGTTATTGTCACATGAACCTTCTCCTCAGCCTCCAATGACTCTTTCTCACTTCTAAGATAAAACATACATTTCTCTGTTCAGTATTTAAAGCCCGTGATGACATAGCCTCTTCTTACCCTTCCAGTCTTTTTAGACTATATTTCCCTTTATGTAATTCATAATCTAGCAACTCTAGTTT